TAATAATAATAATAATAATAATAATAATAATAATAATAATAATAATAATAATAATAATAATAATAATAATAATAATAATAATAATTTGTTGTATACATTAGGACCTCTAAATTCGTTCCATTGAAATCGTGTAGATTGTACCAATGTGTGACTTTATATATTGCTACACTTTATGAAAAAGGATTAATAAGTACGTTCATATCATGTGAGTTGTGTTTTAAGAGGCACAAAATAACCTACAAAAATACTTAACAGAACGAGACGATTTAAACTCAACTCGACTCGTTGCTCGTTTAGTTCATGAACGAAGCTCAGGTTGATTTCATAAACAGAGATTTTTATTGATTTAACTATACATTGTCATACAATAATTATTTGTAAATGTAAACAATGTTGTTAGTTATGAGGCACAAAATATTCAGTATATCTTGTCTTGTTGCTTATTTAGTTAAGAAATCGAGCTAAGCTGCTTAAGGCTCGTTATGCTTGATAAATAATTTTCTTTATGTATTTTCTCTAATTTTTAATATATTTAAGTTTATTAAGGCGCAAACTCGTTTATCGTCTCGATTCAACTCGACACATACCCACATATGAACCCTATTGTGTGCCTAATACATAATTTGTTTAAGAGTGTATATTGAAAAAATATGTACATAATTTTACCAAAAGTAAATCAATTATATTTCGGTGTTTTTTTATTTCAAGTCTAGGGAAAAAAATAATATTCAAGTCTAATAGTCTCTCTGCAAGCCACTCAGTGGTAAAATGGTAAATTAACGGGAACAGGCAACCACTTTAAAACGGCCGCTCGTCCCCGCTCAGGTGAATTAAAAACGAAGCTTCAAAAAATCCAAAACAGAGAAAATCAAAAGATTTAAAAGAAAAAAAAAATCCAGGAAATTAGATGGCGAAATCCGACCATCTCCGCCTCCTCATCGCCGCCGCGGCCGTGGCCTTACTCTCCATCGCCTCCGCCGCCGCCTCCGGAGAAGAATTCCGCTGGATCCTGGCGGAAAATCCGGCGATCTGCCGTGGATCGATTGGAGAGTGCATGGCGGACGTCGCCGGCGAGTTCGAGATGGATTCCGAGATCAGCCGGCGCGTCCTGGCCACGAGACGGACCTACATAAGCTACGGCGCGTTGGTACCGAACCAAACCCCCTGCTCGCGGCGGGGATCGTCGTACTACAACTGCCGGGCGGGCGCCCAAGCGAACGCCTATCGGCGATCGTGTTCCACCATCACCAGGTGCCGGAGATAAAAATCGATTTAATTTTCAAGTCTAATAATTGCTTTTGTCCTTTCCTTTTTTTTTATATTTTTTTTTTCATATTATTTGATGTTTGGGTGTGAAGATACAATTATACAAAACTCTATTTGTTAAAGTATGGTGTACTTTCCAAAAAAAATAATAAAAAAATATGGTGTATTTTTTCCTTTTTTTTTTAATTATTCATGTTAATTTTATGTCGAAAATGCTAAGGTCCCGTTACAGAATCATGCCGTCGGAATTTGTAATCGTTAGATCAAACCACGACAAAATAATTCCGTAAGGGGATCGTACCATCTTCTTACTTTTGATTTTGGAATGATTCCATAACGGTACCGTAGTATCTTCCTACTTTTGATTTTGGATGTGTTCATGAGTAGTGAATTTTATTGAGCTAGTTTTGCAAGACATTGATTAACATCATTTTTTGGAGCTAAATTAAAAATTTATCAAATACTCTACATAATGTTAATACAAAATGGCTAATTTTAATCCCACTCCATAATCACTTAAATCCAATCATTAATTTAATTTTCCTCCATAATTACTTAATTTGACTAGTTCGATCGAAATTTATACTTTAATCAGCTATATGCTAATTGAATTAGTTTAATTGAGATGTTTGATATGAATAAAACGTCTCATTTAAATTAGATGTTAACTCAATCGGTGTAAAATATATGTTTGATCTTAACTTAAACAACTCATATTGTTTATTGGCCACTGTTCATAATCAATTAATCCAACCAATTAGTCAAATATACCAATTTAATTAGTTTAAATTATATATTTGAGGTGTAATAGACAACTAATTTCTTATCAAATATTTTAATAAGGTTTAATTGCTAAATAAATTTTATTTTTTTTTTTGTCCTTGGCAATTTTATCCAAATTTTTGGGTAATTGCAATATAATATCGACCTCAATTTACATCTTGCAAATTTGGATGCAGAGTGATTGATTTTAGGGATTTGTGGACCGATTTTGTGTTTAAGTCTTCCATTGACACGAGTTTTTATGTCATCCACGTAGCAAGTTGGCAATTTTCATGTATATAATGTATATCCACGCACAAAGCAGAAAATTCCACGTCGAGATTATATTGCAATTACCCAAAGATTGAGATAAAATTATCAAATGCAAAAAAGATAAAGTTTATTAGCAATTAATCCTTTTAATAATTAGCTAATCCAATCCCCAGTCAAAATCTCATATAATTTAAATTTTCTTCAAAAAATAATAAAATTTTTAAGGTTTATTTTTCGTGTGGTTTTCGTTTCGAATGAATGTCGGTGGCAAAATTAAGGTCTGATTAATCATATAAACTCGTCTAACTTATTAGTCGTGGAAACCAGTTTGTCTTTGATAATTTGGTTGTCTTCAAAATTCCAGATGCATTTGTAGTTATGAAGGTTGTTAATTGGTCAAGAAAGAAGAACAAAAAAAATGATAGATAGGGGAGAAAATGATGGAAATTTCACATGTTGAGAAGATTTACTAAGATTAGTTGATCTTAGGAAATCAAGACTTTGGTTTCTTTTTTATTAAATAACAACAAACCTACCAACCACTGTGCTCAATAATTAAAAAAAAAAATATATATTATTATTGTTATTTTTATTGATATTGATATTCTTTGTTCAAACGTTCAATCATTCAGACGTTTTATAAATTTTTGGCGATTTTTTGAATATCGGAGTCATGTTTGTTTGTCGTAGCCGCCGGTAGGCTGAAGACGGTATGCGGCCGATCAATGGCGTCGGGTGGCATTAGTGTTGGACGCCGCTTAAGATTGGTTGGACTTTGTCAAATGTCAAAGAATGAAACTATTGATTTTATCAAAGCAACATTTCG